ATAATTTACTCACCCTCAAGTTGTTCCAAACCGGTTTGAATTTATTTCAGCTGTTGAACACAAAAGAAGATATTTTGAAGAATGTTGGTAACCAAACAGTTGACGGTAGCCATTGGTTTCCATAGTATGGAAAAAACAAAATACTACGGAAGTCAATGGCTACCATCAACTGTTTAATACCAACATTATTTAAAATGTCTTCTTTTGTGTTCAGAAGAAGAAAAAACTCAAACAGTTTTGGAACAAGTGGAGGGTGAGTAAATGATGACATAATTTTCATTTTCATTTCACATCATGTGTCAAAATTGACAAACTCTGTCATCCAGCAGGGGGAGCTGTGGTTCCTAAATGAACTTCCTCTCACCTCTGTTCCTCCTGGCCTGCTGCACACCAAGCATCCAAGTGCAAAACACCCCCACCACTCTTACAAGCATCAACAGGGATGAATTTGTGTTATCAGTGCCAAATCTTCACACGCTGCCATGCCGTCAGTCAGGCTGTGGTGACACACATACATACACTTCAACTTCTTCTATGTTGTTTTCCTGTTAGTGTCAGCTAAAAGATAACAATAACTAACTATATTCTGCTGCATGGCTGTATAATGGCGACATGGAGAGATGATGTGCTGTAAGTGTTTATTAGTCTGCTCTAGGATGACAGCAAAAACACCCATAATCCTTTCCACATTTTGTCATTTGTGTAGCATAGCAAGATGGTGGTTTATATGTCATTTGAAGGAGTAAATACTTTTGCTTTCATTTCACAAAGCAGAGAGGATATTTCAAATAAGATTCATTTATTCAAATCATATCATTTTATTACAGGCATACTGCTGAATCCTATTTTTGTCTTCTAGAAAATTATAATTCTATCATTATTTACTCACCCTCATGTCATTCCGAACATGTATGACTTTCTTCTGCAGAACACAAACAAAGGTGTTTTGAAGAATGTTTCATACAATGAAAGTCAATGGGGTCCAAACAGCACTGGACCCCACTGACATTCACTGTGCACTGTAAGAAAAAAAATAAAAATCTGTAGAAAAACAGATAATGTCCTGGTGGGAAATGACCAGTACATTTTCCATTTATTTTACCAAGGTTTCCTTCAACCCTAAAACACAACACAATTAAAAAAATCTATATTATTATTATCACTATTAACAATATTATCTTATTAACACAGTACACTGTGTGTGTGTGTGTGTGTGTACTAAATATATTTTTCATGTTCAAAGGAAGTAGTAAAGTCAAACAAGTTTGGAACAACATAAGGATGAATAAATGACAGTATTTTCATTTTTGGTGAACTATCCCTTTAAGACTAGCTTCTCTTTCCCGTCAGGGTCAAATGCTTTTGCAGAAACATCTGGTGTATCTCAAAGTAGCACTGTGGGGTGTTAAACACAACAACACATTTGATCATGCCACTCTAACACTTGTCTGTATTACATTTTCCCATAACAAGTGTTATACCACACATGCTTTGTTTCCATATGGTAATATAGAGCAAGCGTCCATTTGGGTTACCTTATGGTATAAGACATCTTCTGTACAGTCAGAACAATGATCAGTCTTCTATGTTTGTAATGATGACACATTTCTGCTCGATCTGACACAGCTCATGAAACAGTTCATTAGTCAACATCCATTTATAATTCATGAAACCTCAGTTCTTTCACTTTAATAGCTATTAAAATAATCGTTCTACCAAGATGCTCAATTTTAGGGCTAATTATGATCATTATGGTTTGATGGTGTTAGTCTGATTAACTTTAAGATTGATAACGCTTAAGGTTTCTTAAAAATTTGTGGACTGCATTCTTGAGTGTCTAATGGGGAAAATTTGGGAAATTTATAGCAATGGGAACGGTACAGATTTTACCGTGTCCTTTTTAAACGTTACATGTACTTACTATATAACAATAAATTATGTATAAAAAGTGGGTTACACTTTATTTGAAGGTGTCCTTGTAACAGTGTAATTATACATTTAAGCACTGAGTAATATTAATTAACTACATGTATTTACTATAAGGTTAGGGTTCGGCTTAGGGTTACTTACATGTAATTATGCATAATTAATTGTTATTATAATAGTAAGTACATGTAACATGTGAAACAAGGACACCTTAAAATAAAGTGTTACCAAAAAGTACAACCAAATGTAAACCCAAACCTAATTTTAACCATTTAGTAAGTGAATATTGTTAATAGAGTGCATTAGTGCCTGCCCACTTTTTTAGTATTTTAAGTATTTTTTCCATTCATTTTTTCCTATATGACTAACCAGACCTGAGATGAGATGAGTAACAACATTACAAACTTTTATTTGAAGCAAAAAAGTATTTGAAAATCGGACAAAAAGACAAAAGGAGAAGACTGTGTGTACGGCGAGGGAAAGAACTACAATCCCACGAACCACTGCGTATGACATAATCAAATTAAAAACAATGGAGAAATATAAAACTATCCATTTACTTAAAATACATTGTTTTGACATATACAATCAACAACTTTAAACTTCATGGGAGTGGGAGGAGCTCAACGCTCATTTGGTGCAATTTGCTCGCTGTGACTCTCTGATTGGTGGAAATTTGAATTTTATTTACAGCATCATGGGAAATGTAGTTTTTATTTTATTATTTTTATTTTTTTTACCAGGGATAATTCAAACAGCTCACAATAAGATTGTCTTGAAAGGTTTGTAGGTTATCGTTAAAAATCAATTTCCCTATGGAGAAAATTAATCATATTTATACTTCCGTAACCTGAATGTTGCACACTGTTAATATTACTCACTACTTAAATGTATAATCACACTGTAGCAAAGACATCTTAAACAAAAATATTAGTAAAGTTAGTAACAGTTACTAGTAAAGTTACTATTTTACAAAATATTTTACGTTTTGGCTAATTGGTGGCTAATTTGTATGATTTTGTATGATCTCATTCATAAGTTTTGCGTGCAAACTACTTACATGCCCAGTTATGTTTAGGGATGGGCCTTCATGCATTACATATATATATATATATATATATATATATATATATATATATAAAAATAGTATTTTCTTTTTGAAACCATAATGCACTTATTCAAGTAAACGGTTTGGTTTATGGAGCAAAATTATTCTGCAGGTTCATGCTCCAAATATAAATTTAGTAAAATGTTGGATATACATATTTTAAATTCCATCTTTGACTGCGTTCTGCTTGGTGGCACCCAAAGTTAGACATTATGCATTCCAGTAGCCTGTCTGCGCATGCATAATTGATGACTGCTATGAGACACTAGCAGTCTGGTTTGATAGGATGACAGTGGATCAGACGTGGGTCTCGCTGAAGACAGCTGGAAGTCTGACATGAGCTCTAATGACTCGCATCAGGAGGTAGATGTGGCCATCTTGGAGAAAATGATTTGTGGGGAAAAAAAGAATACATCACTGGGATGAAATCTCGACAAATTGCAAACACTGAGTACCTGTTAGCCATGTCTGCATAGCACAACTAGTGTCAGCCTCGAGCGACACACCCGCGGACCTCCCAAAATCTGTCTGCAGAGTGCATGCGAAACCACTGCAAGCTCCAAACAGATTTCATTCGGTGGTCAAAGTGGGCGGTTCTTGACTAAAATGAGCTGTGTTGCAGGGATGACACATTTTTGTATGCCAAAACCTGGAAATGAGTTAGCATTTTAGCACTTCCAGTTTTATCGGCCAGAAGTCAATATGTTTTTTGAATGGATTTTTGGTTAAATGCTTGAAATAATGTCTGGTTAACACAGCTCAAGCTCAAGATATCCCCTCAGGATTTTTAAAGCTTTTACTTGTCTGGACAAAATTGCTCATAAGTGGCTAAATGGGACTACAGAGGTTGACAGGGACATTAAAAGTCATTATGCAAAACAGGAAAACCCATCTACTCACTACTCGCTTTCACAGCCTCGTTGTATTTATAATAATGCTCTGGCAAACTATTCTAACTATTAAAAAAAAAGTGTTGTTGAAGCTTAATGGTGGAGACATTGAAGTCATGCAACTGTGGTGTAGTTTGTTTTTAGCTTTTGGTGACAGTAAGCTTCGAAATTCATTAAAGCGGTCCTCGACTTTAGTTTGCAACTTTATGCACACCGTTTTTTTCAACCCTGATTCCAAAACCCCTTTGTTTGGCCTTCATAAGGCGGACAAACTTATTTTCATTGTTCCTGAACATTATAACCCCATCGTTTATCTGTGTGCTGCACATTTTATGGAGGACAGCAGTATGGCAAAATTGACACCATCATTAATATTTACAGCTGAGCAGATGAAATTTGCAGTTATGGTAAAGGCTGTGTCATTTCCAGAGCACGCTCTAAGCGGTTTGCCAATCACAACGCACTGGGCTAGCTAACCAGTCAGAGCACATTTCGTATTTCGGAAGGAGGGGTTTCATCGAAACGGGAACTAAATAGGGTGTTTGAGACAGAATAGGAAGAGAGGTGCTGTAATAATGTAAAATATGTGAAAAATAATCTGTTTTTGGAACAATCAAGCATGAAGACCTATTCTAGTACACCCCAAAAACTAAATCAAGATTTCATAAAAGGCCATAATTGGACCCCTATAACGTTTTTTTTGTGTAATGTGTAAGAATCGTAAACTTTTGTTGGTCACAGAGTTTCTTTTCTGCAATAACACAAAAACCAATGGAAAAATCCTACTGGGGTTTCAATGTCAGCCTACAAAAATACCTGATCAGTGTAGTGCTCTATTGGACCAGACTTTAAATTGATAACCAAAAGTCTGGCTACACAATCAAACTCCATCCTAAACATGGATTTTTGGAAAAAGTCCCATCCCACTTTTTCCTCAGAAATGTGTTTTTATTGTTCAATTCTTCAAAGTTCTTTCAAGGTTTTGCTCTCTTTACTGTCTTTGAGAGTGACGCAACTGTGGCCATTGTTACAGTTAGCTGTAGGCCAAATTAAAATACATTTATATACAGTTTATTATACAGAAATTAATCCTTAAACAGGTATTTACAATGTTTAGGCATTCTAAACATGTAGATTAAATTAAGCTTGGCACGAAATCCTTCAAGCATAATCGAGCATTTGACAATCATGACAGAATGATTAGTATTTAAATACCAGCCCACAGGATCTAATGTTAATAAATAGCTAAGAGGTGTCACATGATCAAGTGCTATTGACAATATACAACAACAACAACAACAAAACCTATAGCATCACAAATCTACAACCAGGCCGCTGTGCCTTCAGGACGTTCATTAAAAACAAAGGAGCGGGACCTTCTCCTGGTCATAGTGGGAGGGCCTGCTCTCTTGGTCAGGGCCAAGTAGGTATCGGAGGTGAGGAATCGTGGGTAGCAGTCTCTTTTCATTAAGCTGTAGATTTTATTTTGTGCTGCATCAAAGCAGGACCTAGTGGGCTTAAGGATGTTCTTCTCAATGGTTGCCTTGGTTGAGTAGTCGATGTTGATCTGAGGGGAAAAAGAGCAAAACGTAAAACATGAGGACGTCAAAAAAAATGAGTTTTCAATAATTGTGCACTATGATGAAATACAAGATACATGAAGTTATGCAAGATGAAAAACGATGTCGTAAGGCCAACTATGATTTCGCCATATTGCTGATCTGTGTTTTCTTCTGCTTTAGAATAATCTTATGAGCAGGAGATTCGCGGCTTGTCTTTCAGCCCTTTCAGTCTATTTTTTAGAATTCTTGTTTTTCATGTGCAAAAATGCACTGTAAAAGTCTGAGACCAGAGTGAAAATCTTGGAAATCTGGAAATAAAGTTTTAGTATTTTTTGAAAACTTTTAAAACAAGATAAAGCTGACTTTCAGCAGTGCTACCTTCCATTCTTAGTTGCTTTTCGTTCTTCGGTCAGACTAGAGTGAGTGGTCCCTGCCTCATTTTCACTTCTCAGCTTTTCAGAGTCTATTTTCTCAGCTGTGTGGGTGGCTGAGGGGGAGTTTGCAGCCAAAAGCAGGAAAACCACACGGTCACATATCTGCCCCAGTCATGTGACCGGGGGCCGACAATGGCCTCTGCGCAAACACAATGGCAGGTCTTTGATGGTGATGCAGCACAGCACTACACCACAGACATCATTTAACGGAGCCATGTTTGTTTTTAATGTGACTCTCACTAAGGTTAACCAAAGTGCAGCTTTATTCGTCACCATCAATAAGGTGCTTTTCTAAATAGCTTGTGTTTATTTGTTGTGGGGTCTGATAAACAGGTTGTAGTGGCGTAATGAAAATTCAGAATACTTGGAACCAGTGTTGGGGAAAGTTACTTTTAAAAGTAATGCATTACAATATCGTGTTACTCCATAAAAGTAACTAATTGTGTTACTTAGTTACTTTTTATGGAAAGTAATGCATTGTGTTACTTTTTTGTCACCTGGGCTCGGCTTGCTTTTTTATTTTTAATAACAAAAAAACAAAAACCTAGAAGTTATATTTGTGGCAATTGTAAAAGCCCTTTCACACTAAAAGTGAAATTAATAAACCTCAGGCTGAAGCAAGAGCCTCTGTCTCTGCACCTCACTCCCAATTTCTCTCAACACGGGACAGGAGAGCTGTCAGTGAATAAATGGGAAAACAAAGTAACTTGCGTTACTTATTTGTAAAAGTAAAATTTAAAAGTAATGCTTTGCTTTACTAGTCAGTTGAAAAAAAGTTATCTGATTACGTAACTCGTGTAACTTGTACTGTGTTTGTGCTTGGAATATAGTGCAACAGCCCAAAGTTTTCTGCTTATAGCTTTGGAACTGAATAGCCTAAATGGCTAATTTCTTTGTTCAGTTCCTTGAATAGTGCAGATTTCAATGATAGATTTCTGCCTGACTAGATCTTCCTTGTTCAAATTCATCCTACTGTTGTTTTATTGGCAAAATACGGGCTAAAGAGCATAAGATATAGGCAAAAATGCTATAATTTTGGAATAATGTTATGCATAACATCATTTGGAATAATGTCATTTTATGTCATTTCATGTGTCGTTCTTTTCTGTAAAATTGTCTCAAATCACCCAAAACGTTCAGTCACATATTGAATGATTGGCGCACTCTAAAAAATGCTGGGCTAAATTCAACCCAGTGCTGGGTAAAATAGGGACAAACCCAGCAATTGGGCTGTTTTGACCCAGCGGTTGGGTTAAATGTTTAACCCAACCTTCTGGGTAGTAACCCAACCACTGGGTCAAAACAACCCAATTGCTGGGTTTGTCCCTATTTTACCCAGCACTGGGGTTGTATTTAACCCAGCATTTTTTAGAGTGTATGGAAAAGAGCAAACAGCACATTTTTTTTTAATTATCCTTTTGTGTTCCATAGAAGCAAGAAAGTTTGGAATAACATGAAGGGTTTCTACAGTTTTTTTGTCCACTAGGATTTCTCAAAAATCTGTCAAAGTGCAAACAGAACAGGTACATCTCATTGAAATGACTGTTTCTATCCTTTACATATGCATTTGTGCAAAATTAAAAACTGTATCTACCCTGTCCTTACTGTTCAAAATGCAAATGTGTATATACCTCTTTGGGGGCTTCCTTGTCGATGAAAATTACATGTATCTGTTTGGCTTTAGACTGCAGTTTGGTTGCAGACTCGGTGGTCTTAAAGTCTTCACAGGCTAACCAAAACTCAATGTTCTCCTCACTGAACTGAGTGCGCAGAAACTGTGTGAAGACTTCTACCCCACCTGAAACAAGATGAAACATTAATCACTAAATGAATGAGTTACAGATGAGTAAATTTAAATGGACAAAACAATTTGTGCAAGTATCTGTTAGTATTCTTCTTCATGTTCTTCCACATCTTTTTTTGCATTGGAATATCTATGCAATAGACTATAGCAGCTGTACACTGTAAAAAATGACCGTGAATTTAACGGTAAAAGACTGTAAAAATGCTACAGTAAAAACCTGTTAAATGGTTAACAGTAAATTCCCCTACTATATATGGTGAAAAACTTTATTGGACATTACATGTATTGGAGATTAATTTTACGGTAACATACCATTTTTGGAAGTGAAAAAGACCGTATAATTTACAGTGAATAACTGTAAATTGACATTCCATGAAATCCCTGCGTTACATTTCAAATGTGATGTTTTTTTGTTGAAATAACTATGTTTTTTCTTAGCTTTTTCTTATCAGTTTTGTATATTAGGGTTTTGTGCTACACCTAATGTTGTTAAATGAATGTTTATTGCATTATTTCAGTTTTACGTGTGTTACCATGATGGTGTTTGGTGTTTGTGTGAATGACACTGTGCACCTTCTATATATGTTATTATTTAAAAGCTGCTTGTGATGGGCTTTGGTTCATCATGTGACTTTCTCATCATCTCCTGCTTTTGGTGGTTATCAGTGTATTACAAAGGTACAAAACAGATTTCAGTACTTCCATAAGGTTGGTGTATTAACATTATATCAGTTAATGAAATTACGGTATTTAATTGTAAATTTAAGTTCAAACCGTAAAACCTAAACCGTTGCTACCGTAATTTTTACGGTAAAATTCCGGCAACCACAGGCAAGGTTGCACGTTTCTGCTAATACATTTTGAACTGACTAGCCTAAAGTGATTCATTTCTTTGTCCAGTTACTTGAATTATACAGATTTCAATAATATAATTTCTGCCTCATTAGATCTTCCTTCTTCAAACCCATCCTACAGTTGTTATATATGAAACATACTGGCTAAAGAGCATAAAACTAATTTCTGTAAAATTGTCTCAGATCACCAAAAATGTTCAGTCACATATGGAATTATTGGCGTTCCACATGATTCTCCAGAAAAACCTTCACAAGTTTGCTCACCAAGACATCAAACAGGAAGTGAGGCATTATATCTGTAATTACACTTTTGTATACTGACACAGACTGTTCTAAAAATCATTTAGCCACATTAAAGTGTAAATACAATGCAAACTTGGTTGCAGTACAACCGACTGGTCCAAAATAATACAACTTTGTATAGTGGTAAATTGGTAATGCATTAACTAGGAATGAGAAATATTTTTGTTACAGTTTTTATTAATCTTTGTTAATGTTAGTTAACTAATGTTAACAAATGGAATCGTACTGTAAAGTGTTACTGGGAAATTTGAACTACTTTTCTTAAATTCACCATCTGCAATGCAATGACCAAATCCGCACATCGTTACAATGTCCAGTCGGAGGGCCCATAATAGCTGTTTGCAGCTATATTTATTATTATCTAATCTATACAACTATGCTAGACTTACACGCACAAAGACATCAACACAGACAGACAAAGCACATTCCAGGTGGCACAAATCAAAGTGTGTGTGTGTGTGTGTGTGTATGTTTTTTGAATCAAACTATTCAATAGAGTTCAATAGGTTAGAATGACATGCAAACCAGAAAGTTCAGAACCCTGTGTAGCTTTAAGAGGAAGTGTTACCACAGTGCTAGCTATAGGTACTGAAGCACAAAAGTCAGTCTGATCTTCAGAACCCTGTGTAGTCACAAGCAGGTGATGATCCTATGGTTACAATGAGATGCACACTTCTACTTCAGCTCAATATGACATTGAGAAACATCCAGTATGCTAACTACAGTACACTCCCAAGACAAAGAGATCATACCTGAGTGACTCAGCAGCTCCTCAAATGAATCACCCCATCTCAGAGCCACGTCCGGTGCGATGCTGTTCAAATCACATTCATCAGTAAATACTTTAAGTGTTGGAAAGGTGCTTCATGAATAGTGTCACATTTATCTGAATCGTCCTCTCGATGTTAAACAGTGACACTTTGACAATACTGCAGTTCAATAAATACTTCTCATTTTATTGATTAAACAAAATAGTGAATCGTGTATGTGTATGTGAATGTGTATGTGTATGTGTATACATGCTAAAAGCTTACTGGTTAGTTTTAGCTGGTGGCTTCTTTTCAGGACTGACATTTTCATGCGATCCAGACTTTGCCAGAAGAAGACTGAGTCTACTTTTTTTATCCTTATTCCTGCAAAGAGAAAAAGCAAAATCAATCAATCAATCAATCAGTCTATCTATCTATCTATCTATCTATCTATCTATCTATCTATCTATCTATCTATCTATCTATCTATCTATCTATCTATCTATCTATGGCAGGGGTGGCGAACTCCGGTCCTGGAGAGCCGCAGCCCTGCAGAGTTCAGCTCCAACCCTAATTAAAACTCACCTGCCTGTCGCTTCCTAGTAACTGTTCAGACCTTGATTAGCTTGTTCAGGTGTGTTTGATTAGGGTTGAAGCAAAACTCTGCAGGGCTGCGGCTCTCCAGGACCGACGTTCGCCAACCCTGATCTATGGCATCATATTGCGTTGTGCATAAATGTATACATATGCATGCATTAAATTGCATGTGTTACTTCAACCAGGCACTAAACCAAAGAATCGTGACAGCTATAAGGGGAAGTGTTAACACAGTGCTAGCTATAGGTACTGAAGCACAAAAGTCAGTCTGATCAACAGTTATAAGAACAACACGGTAGTTCTGGTGAAACACACACAATGTCTATTGTTTTTATATTTACCTCTCATGCATTTCTATTTACACCAATAGTTTTACTTTTGTTTCTCACTATAATCATCTTAGCAAAGAAAGGTTTTAGACATATCTCTGGTTCAGCACTGAGATACTACCATTGTTCTTAATATAAGATATATTCATAAAACAAGGTACATGCTGTAAGTCTAACATGTGAAGCAGACACAACAGCAGGTGTATTGTACACTGATTTATGTTCTCTGGTGTAGGACGATTTGTTCTCTTAGCCTTTTTCTTCTTCTTCACTGAATCGAATAAAAGGTTGCTTTACTACATCCCAAAGGTGCAACATTACAAAGATGAAAGACAAACTGATTCGTGTTTGGTCACAACGATGAGCTCCAGAAATAAAGGAAGTCTCAAACAACGAAGAGAAAACTACCCAAACTTAATTTCAATGCACTTGCTAAAAGAATGTTCACAAACCCGAGAGGGTGAATGCGCAAGACAACATCTACCCCCCGCCCCCCAATGCTTTCAGTGCTAATATGAGAAAACTGTACCTCAAGTGGGTCTCTTTCATTCTGCAGGCGAGCAGCTCGTCCTCACTGAGCATTTTGAAATATGCTTCCTCCTTTGGGGCAGAGAAGTTAAACTGAGGAAACAGAAACACAAAAATCTTCATGCTCTTCCCTCTTGTTGACACTCACACATCAACACAGCAGGTCCTCAGTCTAATGTAATCGACCAAACACTGAAGCTCATATTTGTGTGTTAAGTGTGTTAAGAGGTCATTTCCCATACCTGTTAAGATGACTTCCTGTCAGGGAAACTACCCGCCGTTTACTGTAATATCTCACTGCCTGGGTTTCCTTGCTGTAGGACGTCCATCTGCTAGCACAGTTTACATCTTTTTACATTTATTTTCAGGCAATATGCTTCAGGCAGGTTTTACTTAACATCCTACTTCCTTCTAAGTGACAACAGGATGGTGGCTTGTCAGTGTGTGGCCAGAGGTTTCTGAAGTACTCAGAGGGAGGTCTGAAGACCCTGTGAGGACTGTGTTAGGTTTTCCAACTAATCAGCAGACTTCTGCTATGACTTATGTAAAGGGGAATGAAAAGTATGGATGTCTGAAAACAATCTAAATCCTTTTCCTGTTCTTAGAAATGCACTGTATGCATGTATTCATCCAAGTAATCTTCAACAAATGTTTTATTTAATTACTAAAATGCCAGGTGGTGCAATTATAAAGTACAAAAAAAAAGCTTTTACACATCTTAATCGTATCAAATATACCTTGCAATTTTTTTTAAATAAATACTTTAACATGGCATAACCCAGGAAAACTTATATATATATCATCAGATATCATGTTTTTTTTTTTTGCATCGAAATATAAAAAAATCTAAAAGTGAAAATGAATGGCTACAGGGTGTTCTCTGTATATGATATAACATGACATGATATGATATGATATGATATGATATGTGACCCTGGACCACAAAACCAGTCTTAAGTCATTGGGGTATATTTGTAGCAATAGCCAAAAATACATTGTATGGGTCAAAATTATTTATTCATATATTTATTCATATATTCTTTTATGCCAAAAATCATTAGGATCATGTTCCATGAAGATATTTAGCAAATTTCCTACTGTAAATATATCAAAACTTTATTTTTGATTAGTAATATGCATTGCTAAGGACTTCATTTGGACAACTTTAAAGGCGATTTTCTCAATATTTAGATTTTTTTGCACCCTCAGATTCCAGATTTTCAAATAGTTGTATCTCGGCCAAATATTACCCTATCCTAACAAACCATACATCAATGGTACGCTTATTTATTCAGATGATGTATAAATCTCAATTTCGAAAAATTTACACTTAAGACTGGTTTTGTGGTCCAGGGTCACATATAATATGATATGATATGATATTATACCAATACATTTTTACATTTTTGGTCATTTTTATCATCAACAATTATGTAAGTCTGTTGCAATTGTAATGATTTTATTAATAAATTATCAAGACATAATGTGAATTATCACTATATTTTTTCGAGATATTCGAGAGGTCTTCTGAAGATTTCAGAGTTGGCTGAAACTAATCCTAGCGTTAGTTAAAAGACCAACGAAACGGTCGAGAAAGACACACTCTGTATACCTACTGTGGCTGTTGCCTCTGCAGAGTCATTATAATGATGGACAAATCCGTTTCGGCACAATAAATGACAGGAGGGAATAGAAATGTCCTCAGACAGAGACAAGGGTGACATCTTCATTTAATCAACAGCCGTAGAGGCTCACAAACAAAACCACACAATCCTCAGAGTGTCCTTTTGAGGGCAGGATCTCAAGTGCATCACTTAAAGGGGTCATATGATGCGATTTCAATTTTTCCTTTCTCTTTGGAGTGTTACAAGCTCTTGGTGCCTAAAGAAGATCTGTAAAGTTGCAAAGACCAAAGTCTCAAATCCAAAGAGATATTCTTTATAAAAGTTAAGAGTCAACCACGCCTACCTAAAACGTCTCGTTCTAACACGCCCCCACATGTCTACGTCATGATGTGAGAAGATTTGCATAACGCCGCCCAAATGTTCACGCAAAGAAAGAAGGCGTAACTTTTATTCTCGCTGTAGTATTGTTGTTGCCGCCGCCGCCATGTTGAGAAGGCAATGTGTTTTGTTGTGAAAGCGAAACTACTTTGTTTGGCCTTCCAAAAGAGGACGATATCCGCTTCGTCATGCCTGGAGCTGATCCGTGCTGGTCGCCGAGGAAATACATCAACTTCGTGCTGTGGATTGCCGGATCGGCTTTCACCGTGGACGAAGCGGAGTCCAGCCCGGGGTCGTCACATGTGGTTGCCGCAAGCCCGCCGGCCACTCCTTCGTCGAATCCGCCGGCCGTGCCGTTCTTCCAGAACAGTTCAACCCAAATATTCAGATGTGTGCAGCGCATTTCATGGAGGACCGTTTCCTGATCCTGGGAGAGTAGACTACAATGCCGGCTGTTCTGACTCACAGACTGTAAGTAAGTTTTTTTATATTTAAAGAATTTGCCACTGATGATTCAAACGCAAGTTTTTTGGACAGTGTAGAGTAGCACTTGTTGTTTGTCATTTCTCCGATCACAAATGCAGACATGGTTTTATGTTACGCTCCGGCCAGACACGGCATCACAGTATGGTAAGGAGCGTAACATTTCCGTCACACGCTTGAGGTATTCGGCCAATCACAACGCACTGGATTGCTGGCCAATCAGAGCACACCTAGCTTTTCAGACCGATGAGCTTTGTAAAAATCGAGTGTTTCAGAAAGGCGGGGCATAGAGGAGAAACAATAATGTACAGTATGTTGAAAATAATGTGTTTTTTGAACCTTACACCGCATAAACACATTTCATTACACCAAATACACAAAATAATGTTCTTTTTAGCAACATCATATGACCCCTTTAAAGGATTTGGGCAGCAGTTAGTAAAACTCTTCAATTTGCATACAGAGACATCAACCATTCACACATTTGCAGAATTAAACACTCTTTACTTGCTGACAAATAGAACCGTTTCTGCCATCTTTAGTTACTTCTAGGCCAGGCCAGCTCATTCATCGAAATAAATGTCAAGAATATTCAAATATAACATTTCTGAAACAGAACAGCTTACAGAAATATGTTTTAAAATTGAAAATATATAGATAGGCCAATAAATTAAATGCTAATAGGTAGGCCTATGTATTACAAAATGTTCTTCAAAGAGCTAGAAAACGAATATATATATTTTTTATCTTTTTTTTTTGTCATCTTGGGTAAATGCAAAAATGCATTATTATTATTATTATTATTTTTTTTTACATTTGGGACTCTAAAAATATATGTAAATTGAAAATATATTAAAAATGGAACACTTGCATAAAAAAACCCCCACACACTTTTGGGGGCTTGATTGGCAAGGTTATGAGCAATTTTAATCTGTCAATGAGTATTATCATAAGTAATGTGTTTTTATGACGAAGTAGTAGCTTGAGACTACTTTTTACTTTTACTCAAGCATGAATCATTTGTTATAACCATCAGATTCTCATAAGCTCTTGACAAAAAAGGGGAACACGAGACAGACAGAAATTGAAAGTGAAATGTGCTGATGAGAAGAGCGACTTCCTGTCTTTAACGCTGGCGAAAACACATGTACTGACATCGACACATGCCCTTTGACACCTGATTTGCATTCCAACTGCAGTGAGTTCATCAAGTTTAGGAGTTTCAGGATTTCTTTCAAATGCCTTTCAAATTCCAGTTCACTTCCTGAACTGAATCTGGATTCAGCCAGCAAAAATGATGCATTCATTCCAATTTAAATTTAAGGAAGTAAGATTAAAATGGGTGAAATTCTAAGAATTTCATATAACTGCTGTAAATAATACATTTTCTTCATTATATATATATATATATATATATATATATATATATATATATATATATAAATACATATAAACATGCTGTCATGCAACATATGGTGTATTTCCAGAATTTTAGATGATCTTAATAATCAGTTCTGAATGGCACCTATAGAAATTTGTATTTGAAGTTAATCAGTTTAAATAAAACATATGCATAATAAACAACAACAACAACAATAATACTAATTATTTTTATTATTATTATAAGGTAATTATATGATAAGGTACTACAATGTAAGAATACATCAACTTCGTGCTGTGGATTGCCGGATCGGCTTTCACCGTGGACGAAGCGGAGTCCAGCCCGGGGTCGTCACATGTGGTTGCCGCAAGCCCGCCGGCCACTCCTTCGTCGAATCCGCCGGCCGTGCCGTTCTTCCAGAACAGTTCAACCCAAATATTCAGATGTGTGCAGCGCATTTCATGGAGGACCGTTTCCTGATCCTGGGAGAGTAGACTACAATGCCGGCTGTTCTGACTCACAGACTGTAAGTAAGTTTTTTTATATTTAAAGAATTTGCCACTGATGATTCAAACGCAAGTTTTTTGGACAGTGTAGAGTAGCACTTGTTGTTTGTCATTTCTCCGATCACAAATGCAGACATGGTTTTATGTTACGCTCCGGCCAGACACGGCATCACAGTATGGTAAGGAGCGTAACATTTCCGTCACACGCTTGAGGTATTCGGCCAATCACAACGCACTGGATTGCTGGCCAATCAGAGCACACCTAGCTTTTCAGACCGATGAGCTTTGTAAAAATCGAGTGTTTCAGAAAGGCGGGGCATAGAGGAGAAACAATAATGTACAGTATGTTGAAAATAATGTGTTTTTTGAACCTTACACCGCATAAACACATTTCATTACACCAAATACACAAAATAATGTTCTTTTTAGCAACATCATATGACCCCTTTAAAGGATTTGGGCAGCAGTTAGTAAAACTCTTCAATTTGCATACAGAGACATCAACCATTCACACATTTGCAGAATTAAACACTCTTTACTTGCTGACAAATAGAACAGTTTCTGCCATCTTTAGTTACTTCTAGGCCAGGCCAGCTCATTCATCGAAATAAATGTCAAGAATATTCAAATATAACATTTCTGAAACAGAACAGCTTACAGAAATATGTTTTAAAATTGAAAATATATAGATAGGCCAATAAATTAAATGCTAATAGGTAGGCCTATGTATTACAAAATGTTCTTCAAAGAGCTAGAAAACGAATATATATATTTTTTATCTTTTTTTTTTGTCATCTTGGGTAAATGCAAAAATGCATTATTATTATTATTATTATTTTTTTTTACATTTGGGACTCTAAAAATATATGTAAATTGAAAATATATTAAAAATGGAACACTTGCATAAAAAAACCCCCACACACTTTTGGGGGCTTGATTGGCAAGGTTATGAGCAATTTTAATCTGTCAATGAGTATTATCATAAGTAATGTGT